GGCCTTCATAGTGCCGCCCGCTTGGATGGAGGCAACGCTATAAGCTGAAGGGAGGATAAGAAAAGGAATTTGCATAAGATGGTGAAATTACAGCAATGTATGCGATGGCACTTACATGTGGTATACTGCAAGGTTTGGGTGCCCGCACTGCCTGTGGAGACGACAACGCCTCCACCGCCCGGGCCGCCGACGCCCGTCACGTTCGTTTGGGTGCTGGCGCTATCGACAATGCTGCTCGTTGTTTTCAGATTCGTTGCCGTCGGCGTCGTGGACGGCAGATAGGCAATGGTCTGTGCTCCTCCATGCTGCGGCGTCAATATACGATGGTGTATGGAGCCAATGCCGGTGATTGTGGCGCTGTGGGCATTTGGCACCACAGTGCCAATGGTAACACCGCCAGCTGTATTAACGCCCACGCTAGTGGTGCCGCTGTTCGCACCACCGCCACCGCCTGGCCCTGGGCCGGAACGTGTGCCAAATTGGACTTCATCGATGCGCGTGCGTTTCATCATGCTTGATAGGAATTTTGAGTACTGTTGGATCTGCTGCTCCTACTGAGAGTTTCTTTTATGTATTGTTGCTCCTCCCAAATTGTTGCGAGTTGCACTAAGTGGCTTCTTCTTGTCACCGCCTTGGTGGTGGGTAGGATGCTCGATTGGACTGTCTACGAGCGTATGTAGTAGGCAATTACCGGTCGTGGTCGTAGCTGATAACTGTAATCGGAGTGCAGCGCTTGTTCTGATCGTGTATCCAACATATGTTGTTCTGTTTGGTGATGTTGTTGTTGTTGTCTATGCATTTGGATATAGACGCGTGCCAGTCCGCTTCAGCGGCAGGCCACAAAAATACTCGGAACTTTTGCCCACTTCGAATTGCTTTACGTTATGATCTCGGCGCTGTCTCCTCTAGCACTGCCACGTCGCAGTCGCAGTTCCGTTCGGCAAACGGCAATCACTGCAAAAACAGAAAGGAAATACAAGAAATTAAATAGCCGTGAAATTAGTTTTACAATGTACACGAGCATACACACAAACACTTATTATATACAGAACATTCGCTGTTGACATACTTTTCAAAGGTATGTACATATATAAAAAAGAGCACAACACTCATAAGAAACAACAATCAGTCATACATATTTCAAGTTTAGAATCAGCTGACAAATCCGAAGCATCGATAATTTAAGCAACGTATATCGGCTCACGATAACTATTTAGTATATCAATACTTTTTGTGTGCATTTTTAGTGCATTTTAGAGTGGCTTAATAAATAGAAAATCATCTATTGTATTTCTCAAAAGTTAAAAATGATTCTACATTAAATTCTTCATTATATCCATACACACACACACACTAAACTATGCATGCTCACGTATGAGCAGCCCGCAGCCAATAACAACTACAATAAAAGCAGCAACAGTGGCAGCGGCAGCGAACTGAGGGCTGCGAGCAGAGCGCACATCAGATCAGAGAGTCATCACTTGGGTACGTTCTTGTATTTGTGTTTGCCTGTGTGTATATTTATATATACATATATGTACATATGTGTCTGTGCAAGCACAACCGGAATCGGGCGCGCGCGCTTTGTTGTTTTTAACGGGTACAGTAAAAACTGGCAAGGGAGGGCAGCAGCCAAGAGACTGCTGAGAGCTTTTTATGAACCATGTACGCCGATGACGACGTCAACATGCATACAAAAAAATCCACACAGCGAGTGTATGACGTGAGAGCGAAAGAGAGAAGGGGTCTCTCAAAGGGGGAGTACAGGGTGTTTGCCTGTATCTACACAATTCACAAGAGGCAGGCAGCGCAGCAGCCGCCACACAAAAGAATGAGTACATAGTATATGGTGGTAGTGGTTGTGGTGGTGACTGAGGCGGCTGTTACTCTCTTTGCTTTTCTTCTTTCCTTCAATTCTGCTGCATCAACATGCAGGAGAGCGAGAGAGTAAGCGCATATATCAAGGTAGAGAGAGGAGAAGAAGAGAGAGGGCTGAATATTTGTTTTGTGGCGCAGTTTGGATATTTTCAAAGACTTTTCTCAACGTTGGCTCAACAACAGCAACAACTATAAACAAGTATTTGGCGGGCTCTCTACCGAGTAGTAGCAACGACTACAACTACAACTACAACACAGCCAAGAACGAGAAGCAAGCCATTTGTGCGCTCCCCAGTGTGTGCGTTTTCGTGTCGTTAAAAGTGTAAATATAACTTGAATTTAGAAGCGAATGTCTGCGGCTGTATACACATACAAGTATACATACATATGTATGTGGCTATGCGTATGAATGTATGTATGTATATGCTAGCGGGAGGTAGTGGAATAAAAATATCATGGGATGACTCTATGGCCACCTCCTCTGCGAATCTGCCTAGCAAAATAATTGTTGAGTCCAATGAGCGAACACTTAAAATATGTGCATTTGTAAACAACAAATTACAGTAATTTGCATTTGAAAACTGTACCGGGGCCCCCACACTTTTTGATTATCAAGAGAGCGTGTGTGTATGTGTACGTTTGTTTGCCATGGTATGTAGCGCTTCCCGCAGCAAATAATCCTTCAAGTGTTATGGCCAAATGCGAAAACAAGTTGAAAGCGGTGTCGCGCGGCACACGACACGAAACAGCGCGGCTCTCCTAATTTCTGACTCTCTCGCCCTCTCACTCTCTTTATCTCTTTCTGAATAACTGTGTGTGGCCTTTTGTTGTTATTGTTCTGCGTGTACTGCTGATGGCTGTCTGTATTTTGGAGCAGCTCTGCGAACGCCTTAGCAGGCACACACACACACACACACTCACATCATACATGCATATACACACATCTGCTCATATATGAATATATTTGTTGCTCTCGCGGTGAGCGCCGCTGTGGAGCTCAATCGAACAAAATTGGGGCGTTCGTTGTAGTTGCTCATGTCCATGTGCGTGTGAGTGTGCATGTATGTGAAGGGGAGACATGTGGGCAAATTTTCCCTCCATTTTTTCTTTTTATTTTTATTCATCATAGCTAGAGCTGTATAGCTGTATTACGTGCACACGTCTATTATCTTATCTGTTTTGTTATGTATACACAGCAGGGAATAACGCAAATGTAGACAAGTTTGCAAAAATATTTAGTTTCGACAGGAACTTCTTACGGTGTATTTTAATTATTCGTATATTAATAGTTTTTTTTATTCTTATTTCGGTTTTTGCACACACTAGGTAACACACTCTTCAAGCTATTAATAAAATTTTGCAAAATACATAAAACATATGGATGTGTAGAGAATTATGTACCTATAGTTGTATATATGTATGTATATATATTTTAAAGACAATATATTGAGTAAAAAATATACAAAACAAGAACAACAATCTAGAAGGTAGACTGACTAGTAGATTCATGCCGAATAGCTGTGAGCAAAGAAGATGCTCTCATTAAAACACATTCATACATATTTATAAGAAATAAAAGACAGAGAGCGAGAGAGAGGCAGAGAGACGTTGGCGATTGCTCTTGGAGCCGCTAGCCAAGCCAGCTGCCTACCAGTGAGTTATTCTGTGTTGGGAGCCCATTTATATATATATATATATTTATATATAAATATATATATATATATACTCACACGCACACATTCTAAAATGCGCGTATATATATGTATGTACATATGCACAAAATATATATACAGACGTACATGCGAATGGCGCATCAAAGCAAAAGTTGAGATAAGCGCACGAACTGAGAACAGGCGGACGAACGTACGAATGAACGAACGAAAATAAAACGACACTACGTTGAAAAAATACAGTCAGTTCACAAGCAAACCAAAAGCAATGTTAAAAACCTTTGTGTGTGTGTCGTCTGTGTGTGTGTATAATATGCGCGTGTTTGTGACTGTGCGCGAGTAAGTCAATGTGTGTGTTGAGTTCGAGCAGCCCGTCGACGACTTTTTGTCTGTGCGTTTTATATGTATGTGTATGCATGTCTTTTGTGCATGTCGCTTGCGTGTGTATGTGTGTGTTTGTGTGCCGTCGTCGTATATAAACCAATTGAAATTGACCTAACCTAAAAATGTTGTATTTTTCACAAGTTTTAGCTGTGAACAAGTACGCAGATGGTATAAATTATCATATAACTAAACGGCTCTGATACATTTGGGCACAAATTAGGTCTGTTTTCTTATATTTTCCTCACCCCACGAAAGGTAACTTACATCAGAAACGCTGTACATATGTATGTATTAAAAAATATGTATGTATGTATGCACATATACATATAGAAGTGTATTTACTATAAACCGTTGGCTTGTTATTCAAAACTTTCACGTTTTACGCAGTATTTTGCACTAACATTTGTTTCTCACTGTACAGCTTTTCACCTTTTTTATTTTTTTCTTCAGTACATGGGCATGTATGTATTGGAGTAGTTTTTCACAATCTATTGAATAAGCCTCTGCTTATAAACAATGCTACGCGGTAAGCAGATGTAGATTTAATACTTTTACACTATTCAATTGAAATTCACTTTTTAACAATTTTCCTCCCAGTGAATTTCTACAGATATTCACAAAAATTTGGCGAGGAAACGTTTTCGTACGTCTTAACGCCGCCGCAAACATTTTCGATTAAACGACGGCCAGTGTGAGCAAAGAAACAAAAGAGCGCGAAATGCGGAGAGAGCAAACCAACCAACCAGCCAGTCAGCCAGCCAACCCGCGAGCCAGGCAGCGAACAGACGGAGAGAGCGCAAGAAACAAAAACGGGTGGATGAGACGGAGAGTAAATGCGCGCGCACAGTGTTGCTTTGGAATTCTTCATTTTCATTTTAGTAGCTGTTGTTGCTATATTGCTGCAGTGGCAACGGGCTACGACTACTAGCAGCATATCAAACAGGGAGGCAACGCAGCAGAGCAACATCGCGAGCCTCTTCGAGCATAAAAAGAAAAAAGTAAAATGGGGAAAATACGGCTTTGAGTATTAAAGTAATTACATGGTGGCTATGTACATTATATGTTAGCACACAAATGTATTCACGGCGTGTAGCAAGTCTTGTTGCCGTGCGTTCAAATGGCAATCTGTGTGGCAGAAAACATTTCGTGGAAGCGGCCGAGCGAATGGATGTGTACGGAGCATAGCACGCTGTATTCATTCGGAAAATCACGCCAAACTTCTATAGCCAAAATGGTTCGACGTTGGAGTGGAGAGGAAGCATAATTCGAACAGAATGTAGACAGTTAAGCAAGATCACGAGTTAAATTGTCATTTTTCGTTGAAGCTCCACGTTTTCGATGTGTAATCTAAAACAATTACGAAAAATCAAGCAAAGTGCAAAAATGGCTCATAAGCCTGCATACACGAAGCTTACGTAAGTGCAAAAGGCACGACAGTTACAAGCGGTGTGACAGAGTCAGCATGACTCTCTAATGAACGGCAACAGGGTGTTTTCATCGTTCGTCATGAGGCTCATATAGCATAGCGACACCCTGTCGGGAGAGCGCACTTTTGGTGAGAGATGAGAACACCCACACTGAGAAAACGGCACACAAAGATAGAGGCCACTCGCTCACGAGTTCGGCGGAGCAATAGCGATGATATTGCAGTATATAATGAAATCGACAAAACTGAAAATCAGAAACCAAACAGACGAGTAGCTGGCTACAACACTGCCACGGTTACAGTTTGCGGCGGCGGCGACGGTGACGACGATGACGACGCGGCATACACCTTGCCTCACCTCACTATCCACTTGGCTCACGCATACAAACACACGCACGCACACACACACATTCATGCAGTTATGTACATATGTGTATATTCTTTGCAAGTGGTGGTGAAATTGTAGTTTTTGCTGCTGTCAAAACGGAAACGAGAAGAAGCACAAATACAGAGACACCACAGCGGGCATAGAAAGCAACCAGACAATTCGAGCACAAGGTAAAAAAAAGGAGAAAAAAGTGGATGCAAGTTGCGGCGATGCCAACGCCGTTGTCTCACCATGGCAATGCTGTCTACACATATGTATGCATATCGTACATACATACACACATACATTTAATGGCCAGCAGGGAGAGCATTGGTCTTGCCGCTCTCTTCCCATCTCTTTTTCTCTGCAATGGTCAAACACATGTTGGAATTTGATCGGCCGCGAGAAAAGAGCAACTCAATAACTTAGCGGCTGCGAAGCGTCAATAAAAATCTGTATACTTGCGAATTGTGCGCTCATCGTTGTCGTCGTCGTCGTCATGGTGGTGGTGGTGGAAATGGAAACCTTGCAATTATCGATTTCTTTTTCATGCGTTCGCTTCTGCTGCATTGCGCAGCGGGGGCGGCGAGAGAGCAACTTAAGAGTGGAGAGAGCACTCGACAGAATGAGAGAGTGAGCGCCACTGTCACCTGCTAGCTACACAACAAACGCAACTGCAACTGCAACGGCGTTAGTCAATGCAAATCGAGTGAACGAATTTTTAGACACACATATGACGCGCTGCCAAAGTTCAAAGTTCACGAGCAGGCGCCTTGTGCAGTAGCAGCAGCAGCAGCAGCAGTAGAAGCAGTTGCAAACGCCTACAAGAGCAGCGCGTAGCGGAGCCTTAGCGTGCACCTACAAGAAAGACAAGTGCAAAAGGGACAACCACACATGTGTGCGTGCATTTGAATTGTGACTATGTGTGCGCGCGTGTGTGTGTGTGTGAGCCTGCTGCACTCTTAATATATGCAGTCCAGTGTACACACACACACACACAGGCACAGAAGTTTGTTTGCCTTTTTCCAGGTACTTCCGCTGCTTGTTTACGTATGTATGTGTTCTCAGCTGGTTTAATTTATAAACTAATTGGTATACAAATAATTTCAGATGCCCTCGGATGTTATTTGCTATTGCGCAACAATCATATTACAAAAATATATTTACATATTTATATTTGTATATGACGAGTATATACACACACATGTGCAGAAAAGCAGCAAAAGAATTGTCAACATAATGCAAATTGCGATTCGTGAAGAACAATAACAACTGTAATTTTATGCCGTGTTGCAAATTTGCCATAGTCTTCTGTCAATTTGTATATAAATGTAACAAGAATTATTCGCGGTATCAGATAATAGAGTTTACAATTACGTGCAAAATCAGCAAAAATGTGCAAAACCTAAAATCATATTGCATAAATCGAAACAAGAAGAAAAAGTGCAGCCGTAAAAGAAAACAAAGCAAAATTTAAGCGGAAGCTCTTTGAGATTAGCACGTAAAACTCAAAGATTATTATGATTATATTGATTAAAAATCAACATATTCTTCTGCAAAACTCAATGAAAATGCTTTGAAAACTTTCCATTCATTAAATGCACAAAGATTGTTAATGAATATCTTTATAAACTTGTATAATCTATAATAAATTAGTTATCAATTCTTTCAGCAGTTGGACTAGTAAAATATGCATAATAGCACGTAAAACAATTCTGATATGATTCGTTAAGATGCTAGAAATTCAACTGAAAACTTTCCACTCATTAGAAGATTTGTCATAAATATGTTTACTAATATGCATATTAAGGCGTAGCCTTTATTGTTTGATGAAATATAAATAATTACAGATTAGTAATCAACTATTTTAGCAATACAGTGAAAGATGTATAATAACTGAAGACTGAACATAGTTTCACAGAGATTAAACATACAATGAAAAATCTAAAATAAGGTAAAGGCTGTATATCCAGAAGACTGAAACTGTATTATAAATTCAATTCTATATACTCTAAAATGTATTTAAGAGGAATTGTATTATAACTTTATTTTGTTCGTCATTAAGACTGAGGAGGTTTATAACACATTCTGTTTGACAATATATCTGATATTATATATGATATTACATACATGCTTAACGTGCTGAAACACTATACAATTAAACTATTCTTAATTGATTTTATATATACAAAGATTTCGCACTTAATGTTTGCATTTGTTCATTGGCCCTTGACAAAGTATATATGTATAAATATAAAAACAAAGGAAAAATGCACTTCTTAAAGAAAACAAGCTAAGGCTAGTCTCTATTTACATAAAAGGTGACACAAAACAAATACTAAGCACTACATTTACTTGACTAAAAGACTAACTTTAAATACACTTCAATATTCTAGTGCGAAAAGAGTAAAAGTATAAAAACTTAACTTCTTAGGACCAACTTTATTTTATGCATATTTTGATTAAATTATTATTAAATAATTTGACAATCGTGGCCAAATTTGTCAACAACTGAGCAACTCAATGCTAGAGTATTTTGAACAAAGTGCGATCGTTTGTAACTATAACTCGTTTTTCAAGTTTCACGTCTTTTTGGTAACTGAGCAGGAGAGTAAAAGAGAAGGCAATAAAAAGCCAAAAGCTTCGCAGCAAACCCCAAACTAAAAACCAGACTTGGTAAAAAAAAGATACAAATACAAATTTAGGTCTTATCAAGAAAATGCAAAGAAGCAAATGAACGGACGAGGTAGCGCATGGAATATGCTAGAAATGCAAACAGAATTGTGAAAACTGTGACAGAAAATATATCTAAAAGCTAAAAATGTATCTATAAGCTCTTGCTTGCCGGTAAACTACAAACTTTTCAGATTGAAATATATGAAACACATTTAAAATTACTTATTCGCTATGTTTTACATTTGAAAACAAAGTTTTTGTTCTGGCCAAGCTCAAGTTTGCAATAGACATAGGGCGAGAGAGCGCAAGAGAGGGCGGCATTTAGAGAGAGAGAGAGAGAGAGAGAGAGAGCAATTGAGCTGCTGACAACATTGTATTTTGTTGTTCTTGTATTTAATCAAGCAGAGAGGGCGGGAGAGCGCTCGCTCTCTCAAACAACACTCACACCAACAAAGGCACACAAGTAAACGTTTACATATATCGGTGTGCGATTGCAACCGTGTGTTTGTATTAGCGATATGCGTCATTGTTGTTGCTCTGCCTGATACCTTCCATTTACAGCAATATTTATTGTGTGGCATTTTATATATAAATATATATATGTACACATTTTTATCAAATATTTCTATAGGCAAAATGTCTACGTTCACATTTTTCAAAGACGCACACACACACACACACAATCGGCACACAAGTGCAGTGGAATTGCGGAAATGGTACAATGGCGAAGGCAACCACCTTTTTTTGCTTTTGCTGTGCACAATTAATTAATTAATAATTAATGAGTAACACTTGTAGGGAATTTCATTTAGCCATGAGACGCCTGTTTTACCAAACGCTATCACCGAGCGTAATCAATTGAGCTATTGAGGTTATGTACAAATTACTGGCACACACACACACACAAGCACAACACTCTCTTGTACATACAAATGTATGTATGTGTATACATACGTATATAGCAATAATGGGCGCGCATTTTTTTTCTATATACAGCAACATCATCATATTATTAACACTGCTTAAATTAGATATTTGATTGCACACATACCTGGTTCAAGTTGGCTCAAAAGATGCCACAAGGTAAGAAATCTGTCAATTTGTATTTTACACTCCCTCTTGCTTTTAGCTGTAGCAACTGGTCACGTTCACAGATTGTACGCGAGATTTTTGCCAAGATTTTTGATGGAATTTTTTCTTTTATATTTCTTTTCTTTTGTTGTTAGCTTAGCTACAGCAAGGGAGAAAAGCGCGTGAGGCTCTGCTTTGCAACACGCACTCACGTACACACACACACGCACGCAAACACATGCACAGAGTGCATGCACTGGTAATCGATTTTATGCTGCTGCTGCCGCAGTCGCCGTTGCTGCTGCTAATGTGCTCCCGCTGCTGACGAAGCTCCAACGCCTACGAACTTTTTGTATGCCCTGCACGTAAAATGCGCCTCCACACTAAACTACGTTTCGTTATAAACTTCACATATGTATGTCATATACACATGTATATATACACACACACTCGTACACAAGCACACAGTCGCACGCGCGCACACTCATGCAAAGCTGCGTGACTGCGTTTTTGTGGTGCCAATAAATTTAAATTTAGCTCATTTACTTTATTGTGTTGGCTTCCTCTCCATATGTGTTGCGCACTGGAATGTGTTACACTAATTTATCTGTTGACTTTGTATTAAATTTAATTAGTCGCACTACTGAGATGCGACCAGCAAGTTGCAGACGCGCGATGAACACAATCGATATGAACATATGACACTGCACCGTAAATATTAATCGACGGGAACTGCCAATGTGGCGGCAACGCGAGAAGCTAGGGCCACCCTAAAATGTGATATCGATCTTCGTTTAAATATATTTTGTTTATATATATTAAGATTTAAACTATTTAACTTTATATATTATATTTTTATCAGTAACGAGTACCTAATATCACATTTGTTTGCTTCAAATTGGGTTTACAGTGCTTTTTGAGTTTAACATAACAGCTACCTCAGCAACATTTGTATCGACAGCCGCAGTAAGCAGTAAAAATATTAATCGAATAATTTTTTATTTTGCACATTTTTTAGATTTGATCACAAATAATTTTCATTAAAAAAAAATAAAATAAAGCAGGTAATATTAGAATTTCAAACAATTTTTCGTACACTTCTTATCAATAAAGTTAAATTTAAAGCTGTAATTGCTCTGTAAACAGTTTCTCAGCTCAGTTAACAGCTGTTAAATTCAAATGCAGTTGCCGTTTGCTGTCAATTATGCTGACTCTCAAAATAATTTTCTATTAAACATTGTGTGTTTCCATAACTTTATTCATAAAATGAATCGTAATTAATATATTCAAATAAATTTCACCAAGCAACGTGTGAATTTCCAAGATGAAATGTAGACACACTGCTAATAACAGTCCAGCAAAATGCTTAGCTTTAGCTCTGCCGTGTCTCTGTTACCAATCATCGTACATTCGTGCTGGTAGCAGCGAACGAGAAAGACGCGTTTTGGGTGCGTTCACGATTTGTATAAGAGTGTGTGTTGGTGTTAAAATTTAAGAAGTGCAGCTGTCGCTTAAAACAAATAAAAACCGTATAATCGGCGCTTATTAAGAAATCAAATTGCAACCGAGCAACATCGAAGTGCACGTAAAGCCTGACTAGCCAAGCAAATCTATAAAAATAATGCATGTAAAATAATTTTAACGCCCAAAAAGTCGCCGGCCAGCAGACGCCGTTGACGCCGCAAACTCTGCTGCTGCCGCTGCTGTCGTCGGTGTCGCAGCCGCTTGTTGAAACAAATGAAATGAAATATGTGCATTGAGTGCGAATTGCGTTGATTTTGTTCAAATGCAGTGCTGACAAAGTGAAACGGAATCAGAAATATATATGCAAAAAAATATTAACCAATTCATAAGAGAATAAAAATGAAAACTGCGCTTCGTGTATGAAAGATTGTGCATGAGTATGCGTGAGTGTGTGAGTGTGTGCAGAACAAGCAACACAAAAAGAAGGAACGATGGCCGCGGCAGCAGCAGCAGTCGCATTTTGCTGACGTACCTGCTCCGCAATTAGAGTAACCATAACCGAAAATCAAGGCAAATGTTGCGGCTTCAAAAATGCAAACTGGTTACTTTAATTGCCAAACAGCTACGTAATGCTATTTTCCGCTGAACGCTGTCCGCGCTGCTCATCTACGATGTTTGAATATGTCTGCTGCGGCGATTGAGAGTAACATTGAGAGATAGAGAGAGAGCCAGAGTGAGAGTGAGAGCAACTGCTGGCTTAAGAAAATGTATGGCCATATTTGTTTCTTGTCGGTTCCCTTTTGAAACTATGTTCTGCGGCTGCTGCTGCTGCTGTTGCCGTTCTCGCCGTCTGCCTTTCGTTGCCGCATTTCTTAGATAAAGAGAGAAAAACAGCGAACGTTTCTTGCAGATAAAAATGTGCCGCAAAAATTGTATCTTGACGTTTGAAACTAGATGAGTGTATATGTTTGTTTACAATGCGTGTGGGTGTGCTTGTGTGTGTCTGTCTGTATGTGTGACATGTGCTAAAAAGTTATTTTTAATATTAATGTGCATTTAATCTTTTTCGCCAAATCAACAGAAAAATATTTAAAAATCAGCAACTGCATACAAAACGAAACCAGATAGAATCAACGACAAAACGATAAATAACGAATATAAAAACGCAGAAAGTATAATAAAAAAAAGAAAACAAAAATGTCAGAAGAAG